GCTCCCGAAAGAGACCGACTGCACAGCCTAGTTTCATAGAACTGTTCATAGAGCTGTGGCTTAATTAAAATCAGTTATACCCCCAGAGCTGAGTGTCATCCAGCTGCTGGGGAGGTGTTGGGAGAATCTTGGATTACTTTGCTGTATTTGGCTGTTCCCTTGGAGTAAATTACTTGTTCCTGAGTACATCTTGGAGTAACCAGCGGAGGAGAGTCCCTGCTAGGACCAGGGCTCTGCTACACTGGTCATATGAATTGCACAGACTGTAAGTCTGGAATTATGTGCTAGTTACAAATAATCAGAATAATGAATTCCCTGATTATTGTATTGACTACTATAACTCATGACAGGTGCTTTGTCGCCATATTGGCAGGAGGAGCTGTCTACTACCTTATACCAACCCACCCCTAATAAAACTGACACTCTTCTTAGGTATGGGTCAATATGTCCACAGCTTTAATTTAATAATAATAATAATAATAATAATATATAAATAACTTTTTAAAGTCACTGCCCACCCTCAAATCCTCAGCCATCCAACATTATCACTTCCCCACATATCAAATCACAAGGCAATGACCCATAATATATAATATAACAACACGTAAATATAAAATAAACAAGATCCAACATTTTCCAAATGATCCTGGCAGGGGTATACCTTGATACCCCTACACCATCCGGGTTCTGAGCTACCAACGAGCTTGAAACCCACCAACATCTTACCAACAAGTAACCAACCATATTAACCAGCCAACTAATTACTCTCCCTAAGCAGGCCCGTTACCCCCTTAACCTTCCTTATACCAGCCCACCACAAGCTCAGACCTTGAACCCTTAAGCCATCTGAGCTCCGCCACTCCGAAGAAACAAAGCCTTGGCCAGCACTTCCTGCAGCCCTAAATTAAACAAAATGCATCCCACTTCTGAGAGATGCACCCAATCCTTGCTAAAATAGCCAGGTAGTGTAGCGGAGTAGGAGGGGTCAATCCAATATTTCTCCGCTGGGAACAAAGATTCAGCATACAAAATCACAGGAACACAGCATAATCCACCTCCCCAAGGACTAGATGACACATAGTCTGGGAGTCAACTGTCAGCTTTATTCACAGGTCTGCTTTTATGCATTTCTCCCATGCAAGGGAGGTAACTTTCATAATTACTACAGTACCCAATCATATCGTGGTCACCTCCCATCCCTCTCCTCCCCTTAGATTAACAATTAACCAGATTAATATGTACAGAGTTTTCCCCAATTTGTGGATGTCCCCTAAATACAGGGGGTACAGGGTTAAATAAAGGGTCCCCTGGTAGCCCTGATCTGGGTGAGCAAGATACTCAAAATTCACCCAGATCGGACCAGGGGTTCGGGAGTTACAGCCAGTGAAAGATTTGACCGACCGCACGGGCTCAGTAGCCGAAAACAATTCCATGAATTCTGGCCCTGCGGTCGGTCTTTTCTAGTGAATCAAAAGTCCTGAACGGCTGAGGCATCCAGGCTTCTTTTACCATTCGAATGAATCCCCTCATTCGTGGGATTCCACATACCGAATGCTGAGGTGTTGTGTTTGCTTCATGCTTTTTGAGCGTGCTGGAGGTCTTAGCGGTACTTGGTTAGTCGAATGCCCGGTTTGAGTTCCAGTCATTTGACGACCAAGTACCGCTGTTCGTGCGTAAGATTGCTGCTGCCACGTGTTCGGTAGGTGAAATGGCGGCCACACACACTCGCACTTAACACACATCGCAACATTGTATCTTTGGTTAATAGGAGACACACGACCACCCCGGGGTGGTCTCTCGTTCGGTAGTTTCAGGGCATTCGCATGAATAACAGCATGAATAACAGTATAGTCCGTTCGTGAATTGAGTCTCTGCCTTTGCACATATTCGCTTAGAATAACTCCAGTGTTCATTCGCACAGAACAGTTCGTATTTTAGTGGCAGGGTTTGCCACAGGTAGCATGACCTCCAGTTCCCTGTGCCTGACTACCACCCCACCTAACTTCAGTATAAAACTAGCCATAAACCCATTAACCTTCCCCACAGCTTCCGAATCCCAGGCATGCTGCCAATGGAGCCGGGGAACTATCTCCGACCACACCAACTGAACCCCCAGGTCCCAGTTCCTAATACTATTCACATCCTGCTTCATTCTCTTAACTAATAGCAGCACGAGCACATCCGGCCACCTACCCCCAGTTACCATACTAAGGATCTCAGCCATAACCCCTATAACTGAACCATTGAAACTTAATCCGGTCCTCAGAAAAGCCTAGCTGCTGACCCCGGAAACAAACTGCAGCTCTCCTCTTGGTCCAGGAAATAAAGGAATAGCCCACGATCCAAACCACTTGACCTAGGGAAGCAAAAGAAAATTCCCACCACGGCAAAACCCCTAGAAATACTGCTCACACCAGTTTTTGCAATCGAACATAGGACCAGAACATCACCGATTCCAACCGTCCAGTCTTCCTGACCAGCTCATCCGCGTCACCTCAGTGGCTACCCCTATACGGAATGAGTGCGTCCTGAACTGAGTCGGCTGCAATCCCAGCCTGCCAAACCCGCCCCAAAAGACCAGGACAAATTGGAACGGGAAAGCGAGGAACCATCTTCAGGCATCAGAAAGGAACCCGGCACTAATGTGTACCGTCCCAAATATTGACCAACACCGGGCATAAGGGAGACCCTGGGAAAGATCCCTGATGGAACACAGGGACACAAGGAATATTGCCGCCGACCCCTCTACTGCGAAACCCTGCAGTGCTTGCTCCGACCCAGCGGGGACCCCCGCCTCCAGAGCCCAAACCTGCCCCGCGTCTGACCTATGTGTACGTGCCTGTAATGGCTACCCCAGTTGGAGAGGGGGTATCAGCCATTGGAGACGTCCTTCTTCGTGGCAAGCTGCTTTATCCCATCCAAGTGGAGCAGGGCAGAGCTCTTAAAAGAGCTAGTGATTATGCTGAGCAGGTTCCTTTTCAATAACGAGACAAGGCTATGTTTTGAAGGGTCAAGAAGAACTGAGGTTTAATGACAGGTATTCTCCTTTTATGCAGTGCTCCCATGCAAGGGAGACACCCACAGGCAATTATACGGTGACCAATAAAACAATGGTTACAATCCACAAATTCCCTCCCCTCTGCTTAGGAGATAATTGAGTTTCTTACTGAATCTACTCAATTATCTCCAAGCTAAAAAATTCCACTTTTTATACATTTTTATAACTTTCTCATTTTACATGGTACATGAATAAAATATTTTTATGAACAGTATAACTTAGGGAACAACATATTCAAAATTCCTGCAAATCTGTTCGGTGGTTCAGGAGATAGTAAAAAGTCCCTTTAACCGACCGCACGCCTGTGGGTATGCCCAAAAACAGTTCCACAGATTCAGGCTGTGCGGTCGGTCTATTCTTTCATTGGACGAAAATCCCTATTTACACGAACGGATTCATTCGTGCTTGGACTCGTTGAATTCAGCTAGTTTGTGAGTCTATTTTAATGAAAGAGTGCTCTGTTCGGATGAATTTAGCCGAACGCACAGATGATGGAAGTTTCAGCGGTGTTCATGGTTTTCACGGTAATCATACAGTCAGGGAGGTAAATGAATGACACACTTTTGCTCTGGGTGGTCGGGCGTTCAGTACAAAATTCGGTATTCGAACGTTCTTGTCTTGTATACCCATTACACGAAAGCCATTACACGAATAGTCTTTTTATTTAGGTACAGGGTACAGTGGGGGATGGCAGGAAAAAGGGTTGAGGTTCCCAAGCACATTGTAGGGGTTTGTTACACCGTCTTTCCCCAAGCCTCAATTAGGTGTTGTATGGATTGTAAAAAAGCAAGTGATGGGGCAGTAGGGTTTGACTCACCAACCAAGCCCTCCGCAGCCGATGGCCTCAGGGCTGCTCCTTGAGGTCCCACCAGACCAGAATGCTCTGCCACATCTCTCCTCACGCCAACCAGGGAATCCACCCTGTGGCGAAACCGACCTCGTCACTGGGCATTGGAGAAGACTGATTGCCAGCCTCCTGCCATGTGACTATGGCCCCTGGGATGTATTGCCCTTTAAAGACATGATTTGGGCATAATGGATTTATGTTGTGCTGCTGCTGGCCCTTTTAGAACCATCTGGGGACATACTGTGGAGTTACTGGGTGGCCACCATTTCATGTATCAGAGGCACATGGTGAGAACACTTGATGAAGCACATGGTGAGAACAATGGATGGCGGCCATTTTAACTCAGAGAAACTGTTTGGACTTTTCAACACGGTGTCATCTCGCTGGTATTTGGTGCACAGAGACATCGTGCAGTGGTTTTGGACTATACAACACTGGACACATTATACAGTAATTGCTTTTGATATAGCCTACATATGTTCTGTGGAATCTGCATTAAACTGTATCTTCCAAAGTACTGAACAGATCTGGGTGAATTTTGGATATGTGGTTCACCCAGATCCCCCGGTTCCGAGGATATACTTCATGGGGTTATTGTGTGTTTTGGGGTCCCTGTGATGTGTTTTATGATACTGTATTTTTCCTGCTTGTGATAATTATGTTAACCCATTGTGTGCCATAATTAGATCACAAGCAGAGGGGAGGATTTTGTGTATAATTGCTGGGAGTGTTTTCTGTAATGTACGTGTGTTATTGGTTGTTCTGTAAAACCCTGTGGGCAGTACTAAGTTTGTGGATTGGGAATAAAAGAGGCTGTATGTGCCAGTACAGCAGTTCTGCTTGACCTCAAAACTAAGTGTCGTCTGTTATTGGGGGAATTGGATTGTATGCTGATTGCCAGGAGTGTAAGCTAATTGTATGCTTTTCCTGTTCAGCTGTTTACAGCATTCATATGCTTGAGAGCATTCATATGCTTCCACGGTTCGGTGGTTGTGGTGTCTGCTGCAGTGCTTGGAGTCCTCAGGAAGCGCTAGGAGCATCCTTCAATGGAGGTACCCAGTCGGGGTGCCAGGTGATCCATTACATTGGTGGCAGCGGTGGGATGGCGTCCTAGTGCGAGGAGAAGCAGCTCGGAGACACTGGTAACGTTTGGAGTTACAAATTGAGGGCAACGCTAGTATCCGTACAGCGCCCCTGGCTACAGCAGGATGGAATCGGCTAGTTTTCGTACAGCATTCCATGATGAGGAGGAGGAGGCGGCCGCGGACTACAGGGATGCAGACAGAAAGGAACTCTGGTATGATGCCCTGGAAGATGTCCAGTGGCGGCGAGGTGAGAGTCTCCCCAGTGATGAGCAGCGGCTACAGAAGCGTGTGGCGATGCGGATGTATCTATTGGGAGAGCAGCCCCTGGATGAGTGGGTGACAAGACTAGAGACCCTGGTATGGCGAGAGATCTGGCTAGACAACGCATACCAGGCCCTCTGGTGGCATACCATTCGACTTACCCCCTGGACGGCCGAGCACGACTTACCGGAGGGGGATGATTATGATGGCCCGGGTTTATTATGGGATGCCTTGGAGGACGACATTGATCTTGGCAGAACGGAGGGGTCTAGGTTTTGGGACACCTACGACTACCGGATGGGCATGTATGTCTGGGCTGACGAATGTGAGGTGAGCAAAGACATGACCCACCTGGTAACAAGGGAGTGGGAGCTGGAGCAGGACTACCAACACCTGCTCAGCTTTGTGCTGCTCCAGCCTACTGGACAAGCAGAACAAGACCTCATTGACTGGTCCTGGGATGACCTCCAGATGGCAGGTAGAGATGGGACTGAGGTCTCAGTAACCACTCAGCAACCCACCGATCCGCAAGACTAGTACCCCTCAGAGCCGTGGTGGAGCCCCTGGACATGGACAAGCTACCCACTACCCCAGGTGCAGTAACCAATTTTTGTGGATGGGCCACTCTGTTGATTATGTTTTATGGGTGGGTTGCTGGACTAACCAAGGCACTGACCGACAGGAGGTCAGATACCTTGTTAGTCTTTTTGGGAAAGGGGAGAAATGTGGTGAAACCGACCTTGCCACTGGGCATTGGAGAAGACTGATTGCCAGCCTCCTGCCATGTGACTATGGCCCCTGGGATGTATTGCCCTTTAAAGACATGATTTGGGCATAATGGATTTATGTTGTGCTGCTGCTGGCCCTTTTAGAACCATCTGGGGACATACTGTGGAGTTACTGGGTGGCCACCATTTCATGTATCAGAGGCACATGGTGAGAACACTTGATGAAGCACATGGTGAGAACAATGGATGGCGGCCATTTTAACTCAGAGAAACTGTTTGGACTTTTCAACACGGTGTCATCTCGCTGGTATTTGGTGCACAGAGACATCGTGCAGTGGTTTTGGACTATACAACACTGGACACATTATACAGTAATTGCTTTTGATATAGCCTACATATGTTCTGTGGAATCTGCATTAAACTGTATCTTCCAAAGTACTGAACAGATCTGGGTGAATTTTGGATATGTGGTTCACCCAGATCCCCCGGTTCCGAGGATATACTTCATGGGGTTATTGTGTGTTTTGGGGTCCCTGTGATGTGTTTTATGATACTGTATTTTTCCTACTTGTGATAATTATGTTAACCCATTGTGTGCCATAATTAGATCACAAGCAGAGGGGAGGATTTTGTGTATAATTGCTGGGAGTGTTTTCTGTAATGTACGTGTGTTATTGGTTGTTCTGTAAATCTCTGTGGGCAGTACTAAGTTTGTGGATTGGGAATAAAAGAGGCTGTATGTGCCAGTACAGTCAGTTCTGCTTGACCTCAAAACGAAGTGTTGTCTCGTTATTGGGGGAATTGTACTGTATGCTGATTGCCAGGAGTGTAAGCTGATTGTATGCTTTTCCTGTTCAGCTGCTTACAGCATTCATATGCTTGAGAGCATTCATATGCTTCTCTGATTCGGTGGTTGTGGTGTCTGCTGCAGTGCTTGGAGTCCTCAGGAAGCGCTAGGAGCATCCTTCAACAGAGGTACCCAGCCGGGGTGCCAGGTGATCCGTTACACACCCGATGCTGGGAAGATCTAGAATGCAATCTACTGCCAGACCTGGAACAAGAAGAAGAATGATTGGGCCGGTTGTACTGTTCCGTACTCTCCCTACCCTTGCATCCCCAGGTGCACCATGACCCCCTCCTGGTGTCCCACCCCTGCTCTTGGCCCTGCCAGCCGTCATGAGTCCCCGAGGCCCCACTGGCCTATCCCCTGGGGCTCCTGCTCTACTCCTGTGTTGACCTGCAGCTAGATCCATGCCCTAAAGGCACAGAGCACTCCAGAGGAACCGCAGGTGTCCAACACGCCTGGGGACACTGCCCTTGGGTCCTGACATGACCTGCCCAACGCCAGCAGCCAGACTCAATCTCCCAATGGCACCCGGGGATCTGCCCAATGGCACCTGGGGATCTGCTACTCCGCGAACTGCCCGTCACCGTGCGCTACAAGAGATCCAGGAGATGTTACAGCTATGGGTCATCAAACCGCCCACATGCCCTTGTGCCTCCTCAGAAGTCCTAGTACAGAAGAAAGGCAGGACTACCAGGTTCTCTGTGGACTACAGGAGGCTCAATGACAAAACAGTCTCTGATGCTTACCCCATGCCCCGCATAGATGAGCTGCTCGATAGGATGGCTCGGGGCCGATATCTCACCACCATTGACCTATGTAAAGGATACTGGCAGATCACTTTAGCAGTGGATGCTGTCCCCAAGTCCACCTTCGTAACCCTGTTTGGCCTGTATGAGTTTTAGGTCATGCCATTCGGGATGAAGAACGCCCCGGCCACTTTCCAACGGATGGTAGTCCGGCTGTTAGATGGCCATCAGTATTATGCCTGTGTATACCTGGACGACATCGCCATATTCAGTGATACTTGGGAGGAACACCTAGTATATGTAGGGGCTAACGAGGTGTGAAAAACCACAGACTGCAAGTTTCAACCACGAGGGGGCGCTCCAGCGCATGGGGCCCCGGCACTCCATTAAGAACATTTAATAGAATGTTCACACCTCACTAACTAGGTATGAAAACCACAGACCGCAAGGGAACAAGCGGCACGTACTTCCCCTGGGTGGCGGCCGATTCGTATCACCGAACGCCTACCAGGGGAAGCATTCAGCTCCTGAACCGGCCTGCGCGCACTGTCTTCGATCCCTGTATTGGAGATCATAGTACCTGCTCCTAACTGAGCTATAATCACTCGTCACCCTCATACCTGGGAGCTACGAGGCTAGGCACGTAGCTGCCCTGGCGAACGCTCTCTCCGGTGGATACCTGAGTGTGGGTATCCACCGGAGAGAGGGACTCGCGCCAGCGGGGAATCTCTGGAGCTGTGAGTCAGTCTTGCAGCTGCAGGCCTCCGCTGACAGCGTGGAAGTCCGTGCTGACCAATGGGAGAAGGAGCGTCCATTCAAACTGGGTTTGCGCCATTCTCCTGGTTGGTCAGCATGAGTGAGTGCTGATTGGTTGCTGCGAGACGTCGATGACCAATCAGAGCAGGAGCACCTGTTTAAACAGGGTTTCAAGTCCTGTCTTCTGATTGGGCTGCGAAACCCCTCTCCTCCCCGAGCACCGATTGGTGCAGCCGAGTTTTGCGGCCTTTCTTCGGATTGGGTGGCGAAACTCTGTCGTCCCCCTCGAGCCCCAGACTTTCTACGCTGATATCTTGGGCCCTGAACATCCGATCACCCCGCTTTTTGCAGGGATCCCAGGTGGGATCCTGGGCTATTCATCAATATAAGTTCCCGTACCGGGTCACCGAGCCCCAAGGCTCACCCCCCTGTATGTAATGTGTATTCATGTGTGTCCCTGTGCTCTGTTAGTATCTGCCAGAGCAGGAGATGGTTATCTGTCACCCAGCCCTCTCCTGGCTGGGAATTTGTTGTGTTGGATGAAGACCTCTCTGTATAAAAATCTGTGTGTTCAAATAAAGATTGTCAAAAGTTGTACCCTGGAACTGTGTGCTGTCCAGTTACTGGGGAAATGGTTACCCTGGTCCCTCTACAGCATCCATTACACACACACACAAAGCATCCACCACACAAACACACACAGCATCCACTACACAAACACACACACAGCATCCACTACACAAACTGCATTCACTACATAAATACACACTGCATTCACTATACAGGGAGTGCAGAATTATTAGGCAAATGAGTATTTTGACCACATCATCCTCTTTATGCATGTTGTCTTACTCCAAGCTGTATAGGCTCGAAAGCCTACTACCAATTAAGCATATTAGGTGATGTGCATCTCTGTAATGAGAAGGGGTGTGGTCTAATGACATCAACACCCTATATCAGGTGTGCATAATTATTAGGCAACTTCCTTTCCTTTGGCAAAATGGGTCAAAAGAAGGACTTGACAGGCTCAGAAAAGTCAAAAATAGTGAGATATCTTGCAGAGGGATGCAGCACTCTTAAAATTGCAAAGCTTCTGAAGCGTGATCATCGAACAATCAAGCGTTTCATTCAAAATAGTCAACAGGGTCGCAAGAAGCGTGTGGAAAAACCAAGGCGCAAAATAACTGCCCATGAACTGAGAAAAGTCAAGCGTGCAGCTGCCACGATGCCACTTGCCACCAGTTTGGCCATATTTCAGAGCTGCAACATCACTGGAGTGCCCAAAAGCACAAGGTGTGCAATACTCAGAGACATGGCCAAGGTAAGAAAGGCTGAAAGACGACCACCACTGAACAAGACACACAAGCTGAAACGTCAAGACTGGGCCAAGAAATATCTCAAGACTGATTTTTCTAAGGTTTTATGGACTGATGAAATGAGAGTGAGTCTTGATGGGCCAGATGGATGGGCCCGTGGCTGGATTGGTAAAGGGCAGAGAGCTCCAGTCCGACTCAGACGCCAGCAAGGTGGAGGTGGAGTACTGGTTTGGGCTGGTATCATCAAAGATGAGCTTGTGGGGCCTTTTCGGGTGAGGATGGAGTCAAGCTCAACTCCCAGTCCTACTGCCAGTTCCTGGAAGACACCTTCTTCAAGCAGTGGTACAGGAAGAAGTATGCATCCTTCAAGAAAAACATGATTTTCATGCAGGACAATGCTCCATCACACGCGTCCAAGTACTCCACAGCGTGGCTGGCAAGAAAGGGTATAAAAGAAGAAAATCTAATGACATGGCCTCCTTGTTCACCTGATCTGAACCCCATTGAGAACCTGTGGTCCATCATCAAATGTGAGATTTACAAGGAGGGAAAACAGTACCCCTCTCTGAAC